TTTCATTTTTTTCATTAATTTTCTTTTTGAAAATGTCTTTATAAAGCGTAATAAATACAATAATTTAATAATATAACAGTAAAATCAAAGTTTTTCATATCATACCATTGCAAATCGAATTGCTTATAGAGACGGTTATTCCTCAACAGCTTAAAAGCTTTTTGCACACACCTTTTTTAACTGGACGTTCTTCAGAAAAATTATGTAATGCCACTTATATTTTTATATTCATTCATCTCAGTTAATCAGATCCCAGTTTGTGCCGCTATACACAGCAAATAATTATGGGCTAATACATACTTTTTTTGGTTTTACACAATTTCACAGCTTCCACAAGATAAGCGTGCAAGCCCCCACACACAGAAATAATACCGATCTGCATAGCAGACGCGCACACACTAAATTATCTGCCTGCCAACACTCATTAATGAAGGCTGAGTACTCAATTGCGCTCTCATTGTCTATGCAACTCACACTATACATATACATGTGCTCTCAGCTGAACTAAATCAAGAGTGCACGAGCAACACGCATAGCCTTTCTCACTYACTCATACATACAGATTCGCTCTCATTCAATATTATTGCAGTGTGCAGTCTACACATATCCGTTCAACTGATCCGTTACTTTTGGGTGTGCGCTCAGTTAAGTTTCTGCTCATTTTTCTCTCCACTCACCCACTGTCATTTTCGATCCCAGCTGCCATCTATGGTTTCTGCGAGTCTACCTGCGAATTATGTGATGTAGTGTGCTTTGCTCGCTCTGAGCAAAGGCATGCATGAGTGTGTGTATGCGTTACAGTTAAAAGAAGTGCTTAGCTTCCACTCATCTTTCTCTCTCACTCAGTCATATAAGTTACATCCATGACTATATCTCTCTGTCTAGCTCATTTGAGCTGCCTTTACAAGCCTTCCTGATCTCGCTCATCTAATTTACAGTTTCTATGTAGTTAAGTTTAAAATCAATTTTAGTATTTAGTATTTTCAATAGCATATCTAAACTTATTCGCTTATTATCGTTGCCATGTTAGCTAGCATTAGAAATAGTCGCAGCTAAGAACTGAAAATATCCTGAGATATGTATAGCTGGCTCATCAAGTCGAGTATCTGACAATAAGTTAGCCCCAAGCACTTAGATAATGCTCCTCCACATGAAATGGCTTCAGCTTTGAGCTTATTCTCTCAACGTGCAATAACAACAACAGAGATTCGCTTGTTATTGTTTAGCTTATTTTAAGCTATTTGTTTTAGTTGTTGTGTGTTTCTATTGCTGTTTGCTGTTGTTGTTGGGGGCACTTGAGTTGCTTTTATTTTATTGAAGATTTGTATCAAAATGTCAACAGCTACGTATGTCAACAACAAGAACTGAGACCGAAATAAAAGCAAAATGGCAAAGGAGTTTTGCTCCTTTGATGTGGATTCTGCAGTTGTCTCAAGTTTTCCACTTGCCACAGCTTCTTCCTGCTGCTCACTTACTCACTTGCTTCTTCTTCTTCCCCTGTTCTTCTTTTTTTCGGGGAAACTCGAAGCAAACAAAATGTTTACTTAAAAAATTGCAGACATGCATTGCGCGCTGCTCGCCTAGCTTGCAAAATGTTGAAATGCGCATTTGCTTTCAGGCGGGGCGCAGGACGGGGAGGCGGGAGAGGGAGGTAGGTCGTTCGGTCCTTGGGTGTTTTGTTAGCTGGAATTTACTGCAGTCACGACTGCGTCTCGACACAAATACATTTAAAAATGTGCCAACATGTGTTGAGTGGGCGTTAAAAGGGGCGAGCCATGGGTTGAGCACATACATATATTTCTAGTTTGGGCTAACGGAGTTGACAACTGGCAGCAGCAAGAGGCAGCACGAATTAATAAACTAAGCCAAGTTGACATTACGTTAGAAATTTATGGTCACATAAAGCTTAGCTAAAATATTTATTATTGACTTTAGATTTTAAATTGTTGACAGTGCTTTAAATAAAATTGATACAAAGGAAATACTCAAATGGGAAAACATTTTGAGTATATATATTATTTCCAGGTATTTTGTATTTTTGAGTGTTCGCTAGAAAATGTCGTGATTCTAGTGTTTCGCCATAAAGCAGGGAACGCAATGGCTCTGGTGGCGGGACCACTAATGGCAATGTCACTTTACCACTAAGGCAGCACAAACCGGGCGTTTCACCAGCAAACTTCAATGCGCCACAATGCTGGCAAACAACGTCCATTGGACCAATGCAAACTAAACGATTCAAGCTGTAATCAATGGTGCAATCATATCGAAACGCTGCTCGATTCAAATCAATCCTTGAACCATTTCTTATTGCCATTTCACGGGCTGCCTCTCTTTGAGAAGCACGAATTAAGGCCCTTCTTNTTAGAATATCAGCTTAGAGGGTTCAGGGTATCTCCTAGTCGAGCAGTCTCGACTAGAGTCTTCTTACTTGTTTTTTTTGTTGAATAGTCAGGTCTGCTCGAGGCTGTGCCGTAGACTGACTGACTACATTTGTTTATTTACTTCTATACAGGACCGAAACTGTCACTGTTGTCAAGGCTACTGAGTATAAATAGAAATTTGAATCTTTAGGAAAAAAACCGAGTTTTTCAAGTATTCGTCAAATTTTTTCAGTATTTTAAAGATCTACTGACCTACTCGTGGCGGAGACAAATCCAACAAATCAAAAWCCATGAAAATYGGKCMAGCAGATCTCGAGTTATAAGTGCTTGGACACTTTTACATAACTCTCTTTTATATATATAGATAAGAGAGCAAGTTAACGAAAAATTTAAACAGAGCCGACTAAAGCTATTTTTAAAATACACACAAATATATAGAAATGTGTGTAAGAGAGAAAACATCATAAAGAGAACG